TTAAGACAATAGAGGTGGCCAAAATTAATCTTTTTTTTTTTTACTGTCAAGGCCAGTTGAAAATGTGGTCCTTGGAATTATTTGGGCCTCAGGAACTTCTGGCTCCTTCAGTCTTCTACCAGGTAGTCCATCTCTGAGGAAAACTCAAAAGCGTTGGTCGACAACTGTTTCCAGTTGTTGTACAAAGAAGTGTGTAGATTTTTCTGTTGTTGACCCTCTTTTTTTGTAGACTGGACATTGATCAGAATTCACCACATGAGGTCTCCCTGAACACAGGAATAGGAGACTCCATATGATTACAGAATATTTCAAGGGATGCTCCACAGTACTCTGGGACCTAACTGACTTTGGAGAGCAGGGGTGAAAATACCCTTTTCATCCATCTGACCACATTAGTATAGACCTCCAGAGAGGATTGTTGAACATCCAGAAGGTCAGTTATGCCAATCTGCTACTAAAACCAGACACTAAACTTTTTAGACATACATTTTAGAGAGTTCTTGTGTTCATCTTTGACCTTAGAAACTTTGATACCATCCATAGTATACTATCATCTCAGTCTCATCCTTATGTACCTTAAATAACTTCTCAAGTTTTATAACTTGCATAAGCTTTCTAGTCTTCTCTTCCATTCTGGACATACAGCTAAGCTATGTACTGGGGTGACTGCTAAGTGATATCTATTCCTTCCTTACAAGATTCCAGCAACAAACCAAAGTTCAATTTCATCAGAGTTCACTCTGGGAAACTGATGAATTTATTAGGCTTACTTATAGAGAATTGATAAGGGATACCTAAGAGGAGTGTAGATGAATGACCCAAAGCAGTCACTCTGAAAAGTCTTTACCCAGTGTGTATCAGGGCTTTCCCATAGCCTTTCTCTTTCCCATTCCCTTTCTCTGTCTTACCCAGTCTAGTATCCTTGATCCTCCATAAGATCTTGAGGCCTTAATTACATAATTAAGGTCTAATTATAAAATCATCTGGGGTGGGCCTGTACATCTCCCATTTCTGTGAAACGTCTAACCTGTCCCACTGTGATCATGAACAGGAAGGTGGAAGTTGTTTAACTTAGAGCAGAACCCTGCATTCTAAGAAACAGACATCAGTTTGCCTTAACCTTATCTGTAGGACATGTAAAGGTGAGAAGCACCCTAATGGTTTAGGACTGCATTGTTTGGCAGTAATGTAAATCAAAATAACCTCATCTCCTGAAGAGGGTAGTAGGTGCTCAGTGGATCCCAAATAGTAGCTGAAGGGGTGATAAAGTACCTAATGAGAAAGTACCCTTGGCCTGAGAGATGTTCTGAAAGTATCCTGCAGTTTGAGTGGCAGGCCTAGGGAATGCTCCCGGTGAAAGTTGCTGGGTGGTGGTGTTGCACACCTTTAATCCCAGCACTTGAGAGGTAGAGGCAGGCAGATTTCTGTGTGTTCCAGGACAGCCACGATTACACAGAGAAACCCTGTCTCAAACAAAAAGTTAAAGGTGTGTACCATCAAATTTAGTTTTATTGTGATATGTGTGCAATAAGTGTGTGTGTGGTGGCTCAGTATGCTACAGAGTATGAAGTTTCGTTCTCTCTTTCTACCATGAGATCCAGGGGTTAAACTCGGGTCCTCAGGCTTGCTCAGAGAGCCTTACCAGTAAACTGTCTTGCCGGCATTAGACAAAATAATTATCTGTATGGGTATGGGTGTTTGAGTTCTCTCTCCAGCTCCCCGGGGAGTAAATACAATGGTGTGTCCTCCATCAGTTATAGTGCAGAAGCATGACAGCATTTGTAGATTGCAAGCACCTCTGTGCCACATTGGACAGAATCCTGTCTGAAGCTCCCGTAGGGTCATTATTACATAAGTAATCTCAAATATCAAAGGAGCATTTGAAATTTTCCATTTAAAGTTAACAATGCTTCCCCTTGACCTTGTTCTCATTTCACAATGTTGAAAAGCACAGGGAATCAGATTAATTTGTGGCATGCAGAAATAATACAGTTAAGACAGTGCAGTGTGGTGGTAGCATGCCACTAGACACTTTATAGCTGAGCAAGAAGATTGTCGCAAGTTCAATGCTAGCGAAAGCCTTTTTTAAAAAATCAGGCAGGCCACAATCACATCCCACTTTTCACCACCCGCTGGTCTCGAACTCACAGCGATCCGCCTGCCTCTGCCTCCCGAGTGCTGGGATCAAAGGTGTGTGCTTAGGAGGCAGAGGCAGGCAGATCTCTGTGAGTTCGAGGCCAGCCTGGTCTACAAGAGCTCCAAGGCTACAGAGAAACCCTGTCTTGAAAAACAAACAAACAAACAAACAAAAAAACCCGTGCCTCCATCGCCTGGCTATTGTGGGTTTTTTAAATTTCATTTTGTTTTCTTTGGGCATTTTTTTTTATCTTATTCTTTTGCTTGCTTTTGTTTTTATTTTGTGAGGGGGTTTATTTTTGTTTTTCGAAAAACATAAAAGTTTCGTGGGTAGGGAGCTGAGGAGGATCTGGGAGAAGAAAGCATCATCAAAATGTATGAAAAAAATTATTTAATCAAAAACAAAATAAAATTAGGACCACCAAGAACTCTGCTGCCAGTCCTGATGACCTGAATTCAATTCCTGGGACCTACATGATAGGAGACAACGGACTTCCCAGTAGATAACCTCTGACCTTCATTCACACTGGTGTGTCCACACATACACAAATAAGTAAAATACACAAATAGAATAAAACTTGTAAAATCTAAAACAAAATAGTGCAGTTAAATTTTTTTTGTTTTTTCTTCTCCTCTCTCTCTCCCCTTTCTCCCCCCCCCCCCTTTTTGAGACAGGGTTTCACTACTTAGCCCCAGCCTAACTGAAAATCAGTGGTCTGCTTTTGCCTCCAGAGTGATTTGGATGTATTCCCTTGGGTATAACAGTTAAAGTGGAAGGTTCGTTTTATTCAGTTGGAATATTGCTGTTGATTGCATAAGCATTTCCAGCAGGAATTCTACCTTCACGTGTGTGTCCCTTTAGTCAAATGCAAAGATGATCTTTGTCCCTGGAGATTTTGGACCTCTTTCTGTGCGGCTCTTCTTTCTTAGATGTAAGCTTGTTTTGTGCACTAAAGCAGAGGTTCTCAACCTATGGGTCAAAACCCCTCCATAGGGGATATCAGATATCCTGCTTATCAGATGTTTTACATTATGATTTATAGCAGCAAAATCACAGCTATGCAGTAGCAATGAAAATAATTTTATAGTTGGGGGTCACCACAGCATGAGGAAGTCTATGAAGGGGTCATAGTGTTAGGGAGGTTGAAGACCACTGTACTAAATTGTATTTTGTTGTTGTTGTTTTCGTTTTGTTTTGTTTTAAAGTTAGAGGGCCCAGAGATGGTGGTGCACGCCTTTAATTCCAGCAGTTACTTGGGAGGCAGAGCTAGGTGGTTCTCTGTGAGTTCGAGGCCAGCATGGTCTAAACAGTGAGTTCCAGGTCAGATTCAAGCTATACAGAGAAACCCTGTCTCGAAAAACCAAACCAATAAAAAAAAACAACTATATTCTCTTTGAGTAAAACTCTGAAAAATAGAGAAGTGAACTAAATTGAAGGATTAGCAAGTACAGGGTTTACTTCTTGGGTAGGATGATTAGTTTGCCATTTTCTTTTCCAAACCAGAACATCATGATTTCACACTTTGAGGCTGGAGGCAGTCCCAGACGCTGCTAAACAAGCTGTCTGCTGAGCACAATCAGTTCCCATCCTCTTTAAAGGTCTAGTTCTCATGCAGATGTGCATTTTTTGGACAGTATTTGAAGACTGCAGTGTTCTGGGTACTGTTCTCAGGAAGTCCATTTACTTTTCTTTTGTCTGTTACTGGGTTATGTTGTTTTGCATTTTGCATACCAAGGGCTTGAGGGCTCATCCTAGAGCCCTTTAGGGCTATTAAAGGAGCCCTTTACCCAGGAAAAGATCTTCAGGTTATGAAGGATTTTTTTCATTTATTTGATAATTTAAAGGGTACCAACGGTTATAAGGTAAAATGTCTCTCCCCACTGACCTTGAAAAGCCACTGTTGCTCATTTGTTAAACCTCATACCACTATCAGGTCTGTGTATGTAGTTGATACTGTGTTACATCCCATGTAATACACAGGTATCTTTGGAAATCTCACTGGTATAAAGTTGTCATAGCTTTCGTTGTTTGCAAAATGTTTGAGCAAAGTCATAAAAATGAACTCTGAAAGTCTATAAAATAAGAATTTGTGGATCAGAGCAATGTATGCTGCAGCTTTTAGACAATAGAAGTCCTGTCTGTGTGACTCTCCTGTGTCTTGTATTTACAGTATCTGGACAGACAGGTGAACTATGGTAGTGAATAAGCTAGCCATACATGCAGAGAATATTGGGTAACATTTTATGCATCTTGTTCTTTTCTTCCATTGTGGGGATCCCAGGAAGCAAACTCAGGTCCCCAGTTTTGGCTTCCCGTGCCTTTACCCACTGAACAATCTCACAGACTCCTTGTTTTTTACTTAATTTTTAAGGTTTATGTTGTTACTGTGTATGTGTCTGTTTGAAGGGGGACAACTTTGTGGAGTTGATTCTTTTTATCTTTTCATAGGTTCTGAGAACTGAACTTAGGTTTCTAGGTTTGCATGGCAAGCTTTAACAACCTGTCTTTCCTTTTTGGGGGGAGGGGGTTCGAGACAGGGTTTCTCTGTAATTTTGGAGTCTTTCCTAGAACTCACTCTGTAAACCAGGCTGTCCTCAAACTCACAGGCGTTTGGGAGGCAGAGGCAGGCGGATCTCTGTGAGATTAAGGCCAGCCTGGTCTACAGAACTAGTTCCAGGACAGGTTCCAAAGCTACAGAAAAACCCTGTCTCGAAAAATAAATAAAAAGGTATACTTTTCCATTGTATGCAAGGTATTTGTTTTTAAAAATTGTTTGATTTGGAAGCAATTTCATCTTTCAGTAACTGCAAAAGTTATTTACGTTAGCTGCCTTTTGCCTTTTTCCTTTTTTTAAACCTGTTAGTTGGTGATAAAGTTCCTGCCGATATAAGATTAACTTCCATCAAATCTACAACTCTAAGAGTCGACCAGTCAATTCTCACAGGTAAGTAGTACATGTTGGAAAATCATTC